TCGCCGCGTGCCGCCGGACCCGCCGCCTGCTTCGCCGCCCCCTCTCCGTCGTTCGTCGCGTCTTCGCCGCCAAACATCTTTTTATGGTGTTTAACTAGGGCGGGGGAGTGATGTAGCCATGTACTTCTGCCGGTCACCGCTAGGCCCATGTACTTCTGCCGGTCGCCGCTAGATGCTGTGAACCACGAGTTACAGTTTTGTTAATAGATGTCGCTTTTACCAGTCTCTAAATTGCTAAAGCCTTCGATTAAGTTGTGCGTCCCCCTTTTAACGTTCCGTTCGCTTAAACTGCTGTATTGTTTGGACAACTGCATTGGCTATGTGTATATTAAAAACCATATGTATTCGTTTATTACATTCGATGTTCTCGCCAACATGTGTGCAATACTAGATAAGTAAGTTCGTATGTAAAATTATATATGTCTCGATTTTGTGGCGAAATACAAGAGATATCTGTATGTTACAGTGTTTCTACTGGCTACACCAGCCAGAGGACACTCAGCAGCCATTGGGTTAGAGGAGGGACAGGAAGGACCCTCAGCACCCAGTGAGTTGGAGGAGGGACGGGAGGGACCCTCAGCAGTCATTGGGTTAGAGGAGGGACGGGAGGGGCCCTCAGCGCCAGTGAGTGAAGGAGGGACACTCAACAGCCATTGGGTTAGAGGAGGGATGGGAGGGGCCCTCAGCGCCAGTGAGTGAAGGAGGGACGGGGAGGGAGGGACTGATCCTTCAGCAGGCCGGGCGCCGAGCCGCTCTGTGTCCGGTCTGTGTGTCCGTTCCCTGTGTGCTGAGCCTGTCTGTCTGTGTGCCCGGGCAGGTTCCTGGACGAGTGTGTGCGCCGCGGCCGGGTGGTGAGCCTGTGCCCGTTCCCTGTGTGCTGAGCCTGTCTGTGTGCCCGGGCAGGTTCCTGGACGAGGTGTGCGCCGCGGCCGGGTGGTGAGCCTGTGCCCGTTCCCTGTGTGCTGAGCCTGTCTGTCTGTGTGCCCGGACAGGTTCCTGGACGAGTGTGTGCGCCGCGGCCGGGTGGTGAGCCTGTGCCCGCTCCCTGTGTGCTGAGCCTGTCTGTGTGCCCGGGCAGGTTCCTGGACGAGTGTGTGCGCCGCGGCCGGGTGGTGAGTCTGTGCCCGTTCCGGCTGCAGCCCACCTCGCTGTACAGCCGGCCGGGCCAGGTGAACGCCGTGCTGCTGGGACGCTGCGCCCGCTCCGACCTGGCCGTGGTGACGGCGCTGCCCGACTCCGACTCGGACGACGAGCTGCGGCTGCTGACGGCCGCCGGGGAGCCGGGCCGCGGCGCCGCGCCCTACCGCGGCCGGCTCCGCTTCAGCCGCGAGAAGGACGAGGCGCTGGTGCGCTTCGTGGCCGAGCACGGCTGCCAGCGCTACGCGCCGCCGACGGCGCCCAAGTTCTGGCACCTGAAGGCGTTCCTGCTGCCGGCGCTGCTGGCCGACCATCCGCCACTGTCGCTGCACACCCACTTCATCAAACAGGTGGGACGGGTGCACGGCGGTAACACTGCCGGAACGCTAGGTGTGGGGCAGATGGACAGCAGAAATACCATGAGAGTGGGGCAGGCTGTGACCAGTCATGGGAGCTGAATGCTGATAGCCCAAAGGGATTCTTTATTAACCCGGGATAAGGGACCGCCGCTTCTGTAAGGCTTTTGCTGCAGCGACTCTATGTTACCCGATGTGTGTGTGTGTGGTGTGCTGGTGATCTGACGCGGCCGCTCTCTGACCCGGTTCCGACGGCGGCGTCTCGGGCGCTCGGCAGGTGAGGCCGCGGCTGGCCGACTTCAAGTCGACGGTGCCGGTGCACCTGGTGGCGCGGGCGGCCGAAGCCACGGCCACGCGTCTGGCGCTCACTGAGGACGAGCGGCGTGCCGTGGAGCAGCGCGAGCGGGACGACAGCCGGCAGCGGCAGCGGCGGCTCCGGCAGCGGCCCAGCTCCGCCGGCGACTCCGACACCAGCGCCGACGACCTGCTCTGCGTCACCGACTCGGAGAGCGAGCCGGGCCGCGCCACCGCCGCCCCGGCCGACACTCCCGCCGGCTCCGAAGCCGCTTCTGCCGCTGAAACGGCCGCTGTGAGCACGGTGCTGGAGACGGCCCCCAGTGCTGAGGGTGCTGAACTGGAGACTGCCCCCAGTGCTGAAGGTGCTGAACTGGAGATATCCCCCAGTGCCGAGGGTGCTGAACTGGAGACGGCCCCCAGTGCCGAGGGTGCTGACCTGGAGACGGCCCCCAGTTCTGAGGGTGCTGAACTGGAGACGGCCCCCAGTGCCGAGGGTGCTGAACTGGAGACGGCCCCCAGTGCTGAGGGTGCTGAACTGGAGACGGCCCCCAGTTCTGAGGGTGCTGAACTGGAGACGGCCCCCAGTGCCGAGGGTGCTGAACTGGAGACGGCCCCCAGTGCCGAGGGTGCTGAACTGGAGATGGCCCCCAGTGTCGAGGGTGCTGACCTGGAGACGGCCCCCTGTGCCGAGGGTGCTGAACTGGAGACGGCCCCCAGTGCCGAGGGTGCTGAACTGGAGACGGCCCCCAGTGCCGAGGGTGCTGAACTGGAGATGGCCCCCAGTGTCGAGGGTGCTGACCTGGAGACGGCCCCCTGTGCCGAGGGTGCTGACCTGGAGACGGTCTCCAGTGCCGAGGGTGCTGAGCTGGAGACGGCCCCCGGTGCTGAGGGTGCTGAGCCGGCCGCCGAGGGCGCTGATTTGACGACAGCCCCGGCCGCGTTAGGTGACGAGTCGGACTTTGTCCCGCCGACCAGCCCATCGGAGTGCTCGTCTTGTGGCGACAGCGATGAGACGGTACGTATCCCGGCAGCCGTGCAGCAGGTTATGGCGGCGCGCTGGAGCGGCGGCGCCGCGCGGCCCTCCTATTCGCCGATACTGTCGCGCCACACCAGGCGCCGCCGCCGGCCGCCAGCCGCCGGAGCCGCCGCTGGGAGCCCGCAGCTCTCCCCGGAGCTGGCCCCGGAGCCGGAGCCGGAGCCGGCGCTCGGCGACTCCCGGCGCTCCCTCTCGCCGGCGTTCCAGTCGGCGTTGTCCGATTCAGACGCAGCCGGGCCGAGCCACGCGGCGGACGCACAGCGGACAGACACCACGCGCCGGCTGCGCAGCTTCCGAATGCGCCGCCGGGCGGGTGAGGGCGGCTCCCCGCGCGCCGCCCGCCGACCGGAGCCCGGCGGAGAGCCGACGGCAGGCTCCCCCAGCCGGCGGGCGCGCGACGCGGGCCGCCGGGGCCGCCGGCTCTACAGCCACCCGCCGCTGCCGGAGGAGTACCCGGAGCGCGCGGCCGCCGGGCGCCGGCTGCGCTCGGCCAGTGGCTCAGGGAGCTCGGCGTCGAGCTCGGACGACTTCCAGCCGCCGCCCAGGAAGGCGACACGGCTGGACGGCGAGCGGTCTGCCCAGCCCGGCCCGTCCGGCCTGAGACCGGCGCGGAGAAGTCGCCGGCTGAGCTCCTCCGACAGCGCCGCCAGCCCGGACCCGGCGCGGCGTTCACGCCGACTGGGCTCCTCCGACAGCGCCGCCAGCCCGGACCCGGCGCGAAGTCGCCGGCTGAGCTCCTCCGACGGCGCCGCCAGCCCGGACCCGTCTCGGAGAAGTCGCCGGCCGAGCTCCCCCGACAGCGCTGCCAGCCCGGACCCGTCTCGGCCGGCGCGGAGAAGTCGCCGGCTGAGCTCCTCCGACGGCGCCGCCAGCCCGGACCCGTCTCGGCCGGCGCGGAGAAGTCGCCGGCTGAGCTCCTCCGATTACGGCGGCGACGCTGATTCGTCTGCGCGGTCGCGGCGCGAGCGGCAGGCGTACTCGTGGGCCGAGGAGGAGGTGCTGCTGCGCCGGGTGCTGGCCGAGCAGGCGGCCGGCGGCCTGCTGGGCGGCCGACGCGTCTGGGAGCGGCTGCAGGACAGCGGCGTGCTGCCGGGCCGCTCCTGGCAGTCCCTGAAGGAGCACTGGCGCCGGATGGCGCCGCGGCTCCGCAACAGCGCCCGGCTGACCGAGAGCCAGCGGCGCCAGCTGTGCCGCGCGCTGCGCCGGCCGGCCGGGCCGGGCCGCCGCGGCGCGCCGGCGCGGCCCTACACGCGCGCCGAGGACCTGGCCATGCTGCGGTACCTGCAGGAGGAGCCGCGCCGCGCGCTCGGCGTCTCGGGCCGCGCGCTGTGGCAGGAGATGGCCGCGGCGCTGGCCAGGCCCGGCCGGCCCACCAGGAGCTGGCAGTCTTTGAAAGAGCGCTTCCACAAGCGGATCGCGCCGGCGCTCCGCGAGTACCGGGAGGTGGACAGCGCCTTCCGCCGCTCCCTGGCCGACCGGCTGTGCCTGTGACGGCCGCGCACTTTTTATCGGTTCGTGCGTGCAGTGGGTGTGTGTCTGCATGCTCGTGTGGTTGGCTGTGATCATCGCATCGCCTGTTTGGTAGGTACGACACGTTGGGGGTAACGCCGCGCGCTCATGAGCTTTTGTTTTCACGGCCTACGATCGACTGAAAAGTCAGTGTACAAAACTTTGTATAGTGCACAGCCAAGATATATCTTAATACAATAATTTTCGTATACTTCTGGTTTGGGATGAGATGCTTCTAAAAATGGCCATGGATGTTTGCGAAATGTGATATTTGTGAGGTGTTTCACGGCACGCTGCTAGCATACGTGGCAAATTCGGTTTCCATGAAGACATCAACAACCTCGTAGTTCCCTCACTACCACAACCTGTGACGTTGGCTCGCGAAGTGCGCTGGCAGCGCCGGTGAAAAACGGATAACGACTCTGACTTTGAAGAGTAGCGTCAAGGGGATGAAGGCGAACTATGCGGAAACCCGTCTGCAGGCGTGCGCGGGCCAGAGAATAGGTATGTGTGTATGTATGCGTGTATGTATGGCCTATGGGTTACATAGCCTTGATATGTATGTACGGTATGTACCAATACCGTGAATTCGAATAAAAGGGTGCAGTACTTTATGACAGCGTACTTTTTCTTCTAATTCATAACCTGATTTTCAATGGACGTAAATTTGACTAATTTCAACACTAGAAAGTGATTATCAATGACGTCAATTCAAATGAACACAATTTTTTGCTAAAACGCAATTTCCTGGTTAAATGATACGTTTGGCATCTTAAAATTGATCTGTTTTTTTTTTTTGCAGTTACATTTTTCGAAGCTGCACATAAGCTCTTAAGAAATTAGCATCATTTACATAGAATCATTAGTATCTCACTGCCAATGAAATGATTGTAAGAAAATGACGTAATAAGCCCAAGAGATTTCTTTCCAGAATATTGCGCTATCAAATAACATTTGGTTGTGGAAAACGTGACCGTGTATTACGTTTATTTCTTTTGGTGCTGGCGTTTGCCTGATGTGGTGACAATTACTACAGATTTATGAAAATAACCTAAAATGGCAATGGAATCTAAACAAGGAGGCATTCGCGGGATGTTTAACCCTTATTCTTCGGCTGATCCCTCTGTAAATGTCCCAGGTAAGTTGATAAATGCTTGATGGCCCATGGGTCATGGGTGTCGTTTTGTCATTTGTGTAGGCTGGTTAGGGGCTGATTCCTACCAATAATTTCATAATTTAAACATAATAATTTATGGCATTGTGTGGTAAGAATGGCACTGGTATCCTAAGATTAACTATCAGAGCTGGAGCCCTGCCAATAATTTTTGGAAAGTGACGCCCGTGTATAAATGGGATGACCGTGAAAACAGGGCGCCCTGGGCGATTTGATCAAAGCTCTTGAAATTCACTTGCACAAACCACATGACAATCACTGTGTAGAAGGCATTGGGAGGGGGAGAACTTCTCATTAGTCACGTGATTCCATTTCATCTACATATAGCCACTGTAGTGCATAAGGCCGGTGGACTGTGTCACAATTTTAAAAAGGCTACAGTTTGTCGATCACCCGCATTCATGTTGTTCCTTCTCAGGACGCATGTAAGGCCTGTGCTTGAGTATGCGTCTTGTCTGTGGTACACCGAATATGCTGAGGATGTGCGTAAACTAGAAAGGGTACAGCGCAGATGGACAAAACACATTGAAGGGATGCATGACATGACTTATGCGGAGAGGCTGAAGGAACTTGACCTTTTCTCTGTGCAAGGCCGACTAATTCGCGCCGATCTGATACAGTACTGGAAGATTTTCCATGGGAAGAGCACAATAACCCCTGAGGACATTTTCCATCAGCCTCCCCGAGGTGGAACTCGTGGTCACTGCTTCAAGCTGCATGTAGCACGTGCTGTTTCGAACGTGCGGCAGCGCTCGTTTTCGCATCGTCGGGTGGCTATCTGGAATAGTTTGCCAGAGGCCGTGGTGGCCGCTTCAGATCTGTCGTCTTTCAAACGACTTCTCGCACAGGCACTAGGTAACACATTGTACGACTACATCTGACTCGCGATATTTGTGCAAACATACCGATAAGTGTTGTTTTCCAATGGCATATGCCACGAGGACACACACTTTCCAGTCATCTGGCCATATCTACAGGACATCATCGTGGGGAGACTGTGACTGGCGTGTCCTGATCCTATCCGGGTTCCTCCTGCTCCAGTCCTTACTACCGGCTGCGAAGCAGAAGGAGCCCCACCAGGTAAGAGTACCAGGTAAGAGTAAGAGTGACCAAATATGCTCTCCGGCGCCCCGTTTTCACTGGTGTCCTATAAATAATAGGTAACCATTGATTAAAACAGATAGGTACCTGTTATGGACATGTGTGCTATAAATATTCCTTTTATTATTCCTTTTATAACTGTACAAAACATGTCATTTTCAGTTCAGGCAAAGTTTGTTTTTTAGCAGTTTGGCTCCAAGTCAAATTTTGTATGCATCACTTGCTTGTCATTGTTGTTTCAGCTTTAGCCAGCCACAAATGCTGAACTGTGAACTGAGCCTGATATTGTTGCCTGACCTGGTGCCTGATTTTACATTGCATTAGTCCAGATGATTCTGATCTGTAAAGCAGAAGGCCATAGCTGAAAAGATGAATTGGTATCTATCTTGGTTTGGTATATTACATCTTGCATCATCAGCATCTTGGTTGGTATAGTTATCTTGTTATCTTATTAAGTTCAAAATCACTGCTGGCTGAATGTGCTGTATGAGCACAATGGTTTTCTCTGCAGAAGTCATATTCCAGTTTGCTGCTACTTTTTTATCAGAGCAGTGTTGACTGCTGACTGATCACTGGTGACTGCTGACTGTTTGACTGAATAATCAGCACAGCGGTGTGTTCTGTGTTTCAGTGGCATCATCACCAGGCCTGTCACAAATCTCTCCGTACCTGAACTTTGACCCGTCGTACCTGGGCACCACACAGCCAGAGTTCATCTTCCCAGAGGGAGCCGCCAAACAGAGGGGTCGCTTTGAGGTCGCCTTCTCTCAGATTGGAGGTGAGCCCACCTCTGTGACAGACCCCACCTCTGTGACAGGTCCCCTAGCTGTGTGACAGCTCCCATCTCTGTGTGACAGACCCCACCTCTGTGTGACAGCTCCCACCTCTGTGTGACAGACCCCATCTCTGTGTGACAGACCCCACCCCTGTGTGACAGCTGCCACCTCTGTGTGACAGACCCCACCTCTGTGACAGACCCCACCTCTGTGACAGACCCTACCTGTGTGACACCTGCCACCTCTGTGTGACAGCTCTGCACCTCTCTGACAGACCCCACCTCTGTGTGATGGACCCCACCTCTGTGTGATGGACCCCACCTCTCTGACAGACCCCTCCTCTGTGATGGACCCCACCTCTGTGTGACAGACCGTACCTGTGTGATAGGCCCCTTACCTGAAAAGTGTGAAGTTTTGAGGTGACATTATCACAGATCACATCAAATAACTATGCCATGTGCTGTAACTTTTGTGGCGTCTGTCCAGCTGAATCAGTTTCACGAGTGGGAGGATCTCACAGTGACTCCACAACCCGATCTGCCCCTCAGACCGTGATACGACGGGGAGACTATGGTATGATCTCCCCCTGAGACCGTGACACGACGGAGAGACCATGGTATGATCCAGTATGATCCCCCTGAGACCGTGATACGACGGGGAGACCATGGTATGATCCGGTATGATCCCCCTGAGACCGTGATACGACGGGGAGACCATGGTATGATCTCCCCCTGAGACCGTGACACGACGGAGAGACCATGGTATGATCTCCCCCTGAGACTGTGATACGACGGGGAGACCATGGTATGATCTCCCCCTGAGACTGTGATACGACGGGGAGACCATGGTATGATCTCCCCCTGAGACTGTGATACGACGGGGAGACCATGGTATGATCTCCCCCTGAGACCGTGGTACGACGGGGAGACCATGGTATGATCTCCCCCAGACCGTGACACGGAGCTGCTCTGACCGCCCTGTGTCCACAGGCGGCTGTCTGGGCGGAGGCGTCTACGGAGGCGCCATCGGCCTGTTCAACGGCCTGCGGGACACCCAGCTGGCTGGTCACACGGGCGCCGTACGGAGAACACAGTGAGTGGTCACACGGGCGCCGTGCGGAGAACACATTGAGTGGTCACACGGGCGGAGAACACAGTGAGTGGTCACACGGGCGGAGAACACAGTGAGTGGTCACACGGGCGGAGAACACAGTGAGTGGTCACACGGGCGGAGAACACAGTGAGTGGTCACACGGGCGGAGAACACAGTGAGTGGTCACACGGGCGCCGTACGGAGAACACAGTGAGTGGTCACACGGGCGCCGTGCGGAGAACACAGTGAGTGGTCACACGGGCGCCGTGCGGAGAACACAGTGAGTGGTCACACAGGCGCCGTACGGAGAACACAGTGAGTAGCCACACGGGCACCGTGCGGAGAACACAGTGGGTGGTACTGGTCACACGGGCGGAGAACACAGTGAGTGGTACGTCACACGGGCGGAGAACACAGTGAGTGGTACGTCACACGGGCGGAGAACACAGTGAGTGGTCACACGGGCGGAGAACACAGTGAGTGGTCACACGGGCGGAGAACACAGTGAGTGGTCACACGGGCGCCGTGCGGAGAACACAGTGAGTGGTCACACGGGCACCGTGCGGAGAACACAGTGGGTGGTACTGGTCACACGGGCGGAGAACACAGTGAGTGGTCACACGGGCGGAGAACACAGTGAGTGGTCACACGGGCGGAGAACACAGTGAGTGGTCACACGGGCACCGTGCGGAGAACACAGTGAGTGGTCACACGGGCGGAGAACACAGTGAGTGGTCACACGGGCGGAGAACACAGTGAGTGGTCACACGGGCACCGTGCGGAGAACACAGTGGGTGGTCACACGGGCGGAGAACACAGTGAGTGGTCACACGGGCGGAGAACACAGTGAGTGGTCACACGGGCACCGTGCGGAGAACACAGTGAGTGGTCACACGGGCGGAGAACACAGTGAGTGGTCACACGGGCGGAGAACACAGTGAGTGGTCACACGGGCACCGTGCGGAGAACACAGTGGGTGGTCACACGGGCGGAGAACACAGTGAGTGGTCACACGGGCGGAGAACACAGTGAGTGGTCACACGGGCGCCGTGCGGAGAACACAGTGAGTGGTACTGGTCACACGGGCGGAGAACACAGTGAGTGGTCACACGGGCGGAGAACACAGTGAGTGGTCACATGGGCGCCGTGCGGAGAACACAGTGAGTGGTCACACGGGCGCCGTGCGGAGAACACAGTGAGTGGCCGTGCCGTCGGTGTTCAGGGGCAGCTCGCCGCCGGGGGGCCGCTGGGGATCCCGGGACGGCGCCGGGCGCAGTGGAGTTCGGTCGGACGGCACAGACCCTCCCCTGGTCTGCCGCCCGGTCACCTTCCCGTGGTCTGCCGCCACAGACCCCGCAGTCTGCCGCCCGGCCTCCTGCAGCACAGACCCCGCAGTCTGCCGCCCGGCCTCCTACAGCACAGACCCCGCAGTCTGCCGCCACAGACCCCGCAGTCTGCCGCCCGGCCTCCTACAGCACAGACCCCGCTGTCTGCCGCCACAGACCCCGCAGTCTGCCGGCCGGCCACCTACATCCCCTCGGCCTCCCCTCCCCTCCCGCAGTTTGCCGCTCTGTCACCTATATCCCCTCCCTTCCCGCAGTCTGCCGCCACAGACCCCGCAGTCTGCCGGCCGGCCTCCTACATCCCCTCCGCTCCCGCAGTTTGCCGCTCCATCCAGGTGGCGCCGCCTGTCCCACGGATAGCAGCTGATCGGTTCTATCCAGAAAATACACCGGCACACGCGCTCATTGGCTACCAGACCGTCACTGACCTGCGCCGCCTTCTAAACGGTTATAAAAGGCTCCAAGTAATGTCAGGCGTGGTACGGACTGGATGAGGTGTCACAGTGTGGGACAGACGTCTCTGTATCCGTACGTGACCTCTGAGGGCTAAATCTGTACTCACTATTAGTGCGAAATTCCGGAGAATTTCCCTGTTTCGTTCAATATCGAAACCGTGAGCGGTTTTTGAGTCATGTTAAAACGGGCAAAACTTATAGCACCAGTGCACTTGTCTAAATAGTAAATACTCTGGTTATTTTCATGCAAAATATTATTATACCAGCTTTATTGAAGCGTGGATTGTGGGCTTGCGCGTCTTTGGAGTTTTTGCGAGAAACTTTGTCGCACTGACCCTTGTCGGCAGTTTGTTTCTCGCAGTCTGACAGAAGCTCTGTCGTCTGTCGCTGATGTGTCGGTGATTTCTTGTTTGTGATGTGTGGATGATTTTTCGGTGATTGGTCAGGTATCGCCGATGTGTCCGGTGCCAGTGATTCGTCGGTGACCTGCCAATGTGTCGGTGACCTGTCAATGTGTCGGTGACCTGCCAATGTGTCGGTGACCTGCCAATGTGTCGGTGATGTGTCGGTGAGCTGCCAATGTGTCAGTGATTCGTCGGTGAGCTGTCAATGCGTCGTTGAGCTGTTAATGTGTTAGTGATTCGTCGTTTGTTGGTGATGTGTTGGTGATTCGTCGGTGTGTCTGTGTTTCGGTGATGTAGCGGTGACCTGTCAGTGTGTCGGTGACCTGTTATTGTGTCGGTGACTTGTTATTGTGTCGGTGACCTGCTATTGTGTCGGTGACCTGTTATTGTTTCGGTGACCTGTTATTGTTTCGGTGACCTGTTATTGTGTCGGTGACCTGTTATTGTTTCGGTGACCTGTTATTGTTTCGGTAATGTGTCGGTGGTGTGTCGGTGACCTGTTATTGTGTCGGTGACCTGTTATTGTTTCGGTGATGTGTCGGTGACGTATCAGTGTCTCTGCGCCGCCGCCAGGATGATCAACTACGTGATGAAGCGCGGCGCCGCCTCTGCCAACACGGTGGGCGTCATGGCCGTCATGTACTTCTCGTTCGGCGTGCTGCTGGGATGGGCGCGCGGCACCGACGACGAGCTGAACACGCTGACTGCTGGCACCGCCACCGGGCTGCTCTACAAGTCCTCCGGTGAGGGGGGGGGGAGGGACACTGGGCTGCTCTACAAGTCCTCCGGTGAGCGGGGGGGGGGGACACCGCCACCGGGCTGCTCTACAAGTCCTCCGGTGAGGGGGGAGGACACCGGGCTGCTCTACAAGTCCTCCGGTGAGGGGGGGGGGGGCACCGCCACCGGGCTGCTCTACAAGTCCTCCGGTGAGGGGGGGGGGGCACCGCCACCGGGCTGCTCTACAAGTCCTCCGGTGAGGGGAAAAGAGAGAGGTCGGCAGGCAGAAAGAGTGGAGGATAAGTGTCGGGAAGAGGATTAAGTTAGCGAGAATAGCTGGAGTACCATGCTCCAAGTATTGTGCTCGTGTGTCCAATCCATGGCTGGAATCGCGTTCTTATTTCCATGTTTTCCGCGTCAGGCGAGCGCGGTGCGGTTGACTTGTGTCGTATGAGGGGTGGTGGTTCAGAGACTACGGAATCTGGTCACCCCGCACAGTCTAATCAGTCCGGTCACGCACATACACTGCCTGCCTGACATGAGAGAACGCCAGGCCGGGCAGCCGGAGGGCGGATACCAAGAGCATGTCTTTTATTTAATTTTAAACCCACATTGAATACACTTTGCACCTGGCGTTCATTTAAGAACGTTACATATTTTTCTCGTGGTATAAAACGTACTGGTAGTTTCTCCCAGTCACCATAACGCCAAGTTCAGGCGACCTCGGCCCAGGTCCACCTCTGACCTCTGACCCTTACCCCGGGCCCTGACTCTGCCTCTGACCTTTGACCTGTGACCTCTGACCTGTGACCCCTGTCTGCGCCCACAGCCGGCGCCAAGCGGTGTGTGATGGGCGGCGGAGTGACCTCTGACCTGTGACCCCTGTCTGCGCCCACAGCCGGCGCCAAGCGGTGTCTGATGCGCGGCGGAGTGACCTCTGACCTCTGACCCCTGTGTCCGCCCACGGCCGGCGCCAAGCGGTGTCTGATGGGCGGCGGAGTGACCTCTGACCTCTGACCCCTGTGTCCGCCCACAGCCGGCGCCAAGCGGTGTCTGATGGGCGGTGGAGTGACCCCTGACCTGTGACCTCTGACCTGTGACCTGTGACCCCTGTGTCCGCCCACAGCCGGCGCCAAGCGGTGTGTGATGGGCGGCGGTCTGACCTGTGACCTCTGACCTCTGACCTGTGACCCCTGTGTCCGCCCCACAGCCGGCGCCAAGCGGTGTCTGATGGGCGGCGGCGTGACCCCTGACCTCTGACCTGTGACCTCTGACCTGTGACCCCTGTGTCCGCCCACAGCCGGCGCCAAGCGGTGTCTGATGGGCGGCGGCGTGGGCCTGGCGCTGGCGGCCGCCTACTGTCTGGCCACCTCGCGGGACCGGCTGCAGAGCCTGCGCACCTACAGCTAGGGCCGCCGCAGGTCAGCACCTCGCGCCGCGCGCCGTCCGCAGGGCTGACGGACTCGCTCAGGGGTGCCCCGCCCCGCCCCGCCCCGCCCTGCCCCGCCCCGCGCGCTAGTGTAATGGGAGTGACGCCATGGGCTGCCGGCACCGGCCGGCCGCACCCATTGGTCGTTAACTGAAGGCCGTGCTCTGATTGGCCGGGCGGCGTGACCCGGCCGCTCTGATTGGCTGTCTGGGGTCAGGGTCGCCCGGCGGTCGTTGCTGATTGGTCTGTGTCGCTGTGATACGTGGAATGGCCGACCGTTAGCTCTGGTGGCGGCGTGGACACGTTGCTATGGGGTCTGCCGCCGCACAGAGCGGACTGAATGAACTGCACACGGAAACCAAACAAATACAAATAGCAAAACCGACCGACAGGCCTCTGTGGGGACAGGGACCTAATTGGGGACGCCTTTATTCTATAGCAACGCGGTTGTAGAAATGTCCGTCCTGGTTAAATTTGCATGAACAATGAACAGCAAAACAACACAAAACTAAGAAGCAGATAAACGGAGGCCATCGGGCGCACTGCCAAGCCTGGCTCTGGCTCGCGCGCTGTCCGCGAACCTGGCTCCGTAAAGCTAACGATGGCAGACAGTCATCATTAAACATGCTGTCGAGATTGATTTGATCGGCGCATGTCGCTCATTTCCCGGGCGTGGATAGTTAATGTGACTTTCTCAGAATGGCCGGCTGGGGTCGCTGTCCATTGTTCCTGGTGACCGCCTATTAAAGGCCATAGTCATGGTAACGACAGCGTGTTCTCGGAGTCCGCCCGAGCCGGCGGCGGACCGAGTGTCTGCACGTCACCCGGCCGGGAGTACGACTCTCGCGAGATTAAGCGGTAGGTTTTGCACTTTCACATTTCCGGTTATATCTCAGAAACTAATCGATCTACGATGAAGCCATTTTACACGATCATGGCCGGCTTGTGAAGCAACAAGTCGATCACATTTTCAACACTTAAAAGCTTAAGACGACGAAGATATGGCCTGAAGTACGCTAAATTTTCTAGGTGCAAAACCTACCACTAAAACCCGCGAGACCTGTACATACATTAGTGGCCCGGCCGGAAGTATACAGTGACCCGTCCGGGAGTAACAGACAGTGACCGGTTCGGCAGTATTGCAGTGACCCGTCCGGGAGTAAATCAGTGACCCGCCCGGGAGTAAATCAGTGACCGGTCCGGGACTATACACTATACAGTGGCCCGTCCGGGAGTAAATCAGTGACCCGACCGGGAGTACATACATCAGTGGCCCGTCCGGGAGTGCATACATACATCAGTGACCCGGTCGGGAGTACATACATACATCAGTGACCCGTCCGGGAGTACATACATCAGTGACCCGTCCGGGAGTTGCAGTGACCCGTCCGGGAGTACATCAGTGACCCGTCCGGGAGTTGCAGTGACCCGTCCGGGAGTACATCAGTGACCCGGCCGGGAGTAACAGCGGCCCGTCCGGGAGTACAGTGACCCGTCCGGGAGTACAGTGACCCGTCTGGGAGTACATACATCAGTGACCCGGCCGGAAGTAACAGTTAGTGACCCGGCCGGGAGTAACAGTCAGTAACCCGGCCGGGAGTAACAGTCAGTAACCCGGCCGGGAGTAACAGTCAGTGACCCGTCCGGGAGTGCATACATCAGTGACCCGTCCGGGAGTATACAGTGACTCGTCCGGGAGTACATACATCAGTGACCCGGCCGGGAGTAACAGTCAGCGACCCGTCCGGGAGTACATACATCAGTGACCCGGCCGGGAGTACATACATCAGTGACCCGTCTGGGAGTACATACATCAGTGACCCGGCCGGGAGTAACAGTCAGTAACCCGGCCGGGAGTAACAGTCAGTGACCCGTCCGGGAGTGCATACATCAGTGACCCGGCCGGGAGTACATCAGTGACCGGTCCGGGAGTACATCAGTGACCGGTCCGGGAGTATACAGTGACTCGTCCGGGAGTTTCCAGTGACCCGTCCGGAAGTACTCGGCAGCAGGGTCGGATCTAGGATTTCGATAGGGTGGGGGCAGTCAAGCACAGGGGCGGCACATTTTCCGCCTAAGGGGGCGGCATTTATAGGGTCTGTTCCAGTCCAGTGAAAAAAAAACGAGCTTGACGGCCGTCACGAGACGCAGCGATTGATATTCAAATTTAGGGTCTCAGGTCAACTGGTGACCTCTGGTCAGGTAACTTACCCTAAAGTCGGGTTTTTGTTTTTGGCAAATAATTTTGCAAACAAATGGCCATAGAGCAAAAATTTAGGCATAATCGTATTCCTCTCAAGCTGCGTCGAATGCTGTGGGTACTTTTTGTTCGGTAAAGGTCACAATCAAGATTGACACAAAGGTCGTCAGGTCAAGCCCCCTCAGGACACTGTTCGGACTAGGTCAGGTTGCATATTAATCGATTTGGAAGCTCATTGCAATCACAATGATGCCTTTCCCGACTCTAGCTTAATTTGGTCGAAAGTTATTAACGAAAAACGATTATGACCCAAAAGAACGTCCTCTGTGACGTTCTCTGTGGCGTCATACAAGTAGGTACAAAATGCCAAAATAAGGCACGGAATCCTTTGACGAGCGTATGAAAACACATTTATTTGCGTCTTCGGGCGGATTATATAACAACTATATGTTCCAAAAAGAGCAGTTCAGTAGTTCCCCCATAGGTTTATAATGGGGGAGGTCAGGTGACTGACCTGACCCAAGATGAATTGTACGAACAATCCAAGATATACGAAGTATGAGTACCCGGGAGCTTGTTACTTTCTGAAAGTGTCATCATCCTCGCCGACACTTTGCCTGGCGTTGGCGGCGTTGCGAAGTTGCAACATTTTTTTTTTGACAGTGCAGACTGCAGAGTGCAGACTGCAGAGGTTTACTTATAACCTTTAGAGGTTTATGCATCGGTCAGTGACCTGACCATAGTTGGAGAATTGTACTGAACTGTGGGTGCACGAGCTCTCCCAATTCCACGCCAGCTTGGCTTTGGAGCCGCAACAGACTGTGGAGGTCAAGGTCACCGCTAGGGCGGCGGCGGATTTGCTGCGCCCGAGCACCCACCGTTCGGCACAATTATCCACCTATGGACCTGAACTAACCTGGAAAGGAATCAGGTGTCATAAGGTCTGGTTTGGATGGGGGCTCACGTAGGCCAAGTTTCAGCTCTCTATCGAAAACGGCTCCTGAGCAGTCACGAAAAAAATCGTAAGGGGTGCCCCCCCCCCCTCCTCCCTCGGCCCGCGAGGGTTAAAGGTAGTGTGCCACCTTTCAAAGATTTCCCATTTTATTTTTCCTAGGATAAGAAGCTTCTGTTTTTACCTAATATCGCAAAAAAAAAATCAAAAATGGGCCTGGAATAGTGCTTTTTTTCGCCGAAAAGTTTATCGGTTTTTCGATATGTATAACAACTGTAGTGGGCTGACCTGCAAACAGGCGTCGGCAACAATCGCGAATGCGGCGCACATGTGACAATAGGTCTACCGCACCACCTAACAGGCGTGTTCGAAACCGCAGGAGATGATGATGAACGGGTTTATCGAAACTTGATTGGATGAGCCTATCGGTAATAGCGATTTCAGTGTGTGCATTTATTGTTCATAGTGGTGTGAAATGTGGTTGGGGTACGACCGACAACCCGTCGGGGCGAATTTCGTACTGGGGTACTCAAAATTTGAAGAATTTAAGACATTCCCATGAGTTTTGAAGGTATCAGGGCCTATTTTAACATGTTAACTGGGGGGGGGGGGCAAATGCCCCCGCACTCAATAGCATTGCCCCCCCAGTCGTCGAGATTTGCCCACTATAAAAATGGGCATAAAGGAACAGGGTGACAAACATACTACTGTGACTTGTTTTGCAATGGATGTCAAATGAGTCAGTCTGCAAGTAATGACCAGTGGTGGATCCAAGGGTGGGTCATATGGGTCATGACCCCCGCCCCCTTGGGGCCCGGGGACACCACAGGCCTGCCAGGGGCACCACAGGCCTGTTGGGAGCACCATCGACCTAGCAAGAGCACCTAGGTCTGCCAGGGGCACCACAGACCTGCCAGGGGCCCCACCGACCTCGCAGGGGCACCTTGGGCCTGTCAGGGGCACCACGGGCCTGTCGGGGGCGCCACAAGTTTGTCAGGGGCACCATAGGCCTGTCAGGAGCACCATCGGCCTAGCAAGAGCACCATAGATCTGCCAGTGGCACCACAGACCTGCCAGGGGCCCCACCGGTCTCGCAGGGGCACCACCTTGGGCCTGTCAGGGGTACCACCACAGGCCCGCCAGGGGCACCACAGGCCTGCCAGAGGCACCACAGGCCTAGCAAGGGCACCACGGACCTGTCAGCGACACCACGGGCCTGTCGGGGGCACCTCAGGCTTGTCAGGGCCGAGGGACACCACAGTCCTTTCAGGGGCACCACAGGCCTGTCAGGGGCACCAGAGGCCTAGCAGGGACACCACATGCCTGGCAGGGACACCACCGGCCTCGCAGGGACACCACCGGCCTCGCAAGGGTATCATGGGCCTGTCAGGGGCACCACGGGCCTGTCGTTGGAACTTTAGGCTTGTCAGGGGCACCACAGTTCTTTCAAATGCACCGGCGGCCTAGCACCATGGTACCATGTTTGGCCGGGATCGCGATTCGGCGTATGTCGCCTCGCATTAGCCGCGCGTTTGCAGTCTTTTCGTGGTTTCAAACGTTCAAACATGGGATATGATGTTGCTCCCATGCATTAGGGTGGGTGTCAAGGTCACCGGAAGGTCAGGTCAGGTCATTTACCTTTGATGACCTGGGCTCACATTTTCGAGTTTTATATGTTTCTAGGCTAGTTTTTGGAGCTGAATTCGAATTTAGCAACCATTTGACCGTTTACGAAGTAGTTTTGGTGCCTTCGTAACATGTTACGAAGCTGTCAGAGGCGGTTGCCACCTACTACGAATACCCGGCAAAACCCCTGGTTGACCTGACCTGACCTGACCTGGCCTAAATGCATGAAGACATCATCTATGATCATAACTATAGCATGATATTCGTGATCAGCACCCCGGAAAAACCATAGCAGCCACCCTTTACGACGCTCTAACAGGTCCCGATTTTCCCGACTTTTGAGTCATTGACCTGACCTGGAAGGTCAACCGATGACCTAGGACCTTAAAATTGGGTATCATCGGTTTCCTTTCATCACGGGCAACACGGTCGTTTTTTTCCGCGAAGCTCTAGCTCGATCAGGGGAGGGGGGAGGGGTCCAACGGACCCCCCCCCCCCTAATATTCGTTCGCAGCTGGAAACACCAATACGGGCGAGGGTTAATGGATTATTAAAGACAATTTTTCGGGTTGCCCCCCCAGTCAAATTCCCTTAGAATAGGCTCTGG